AAACCCAGCCTGGACTTCTGGTAGTTCTCTGTTGATGTGCTGTTCCAGTCGTTTTTGGATAATCTTCAGTAAAATCTTGCTTGCATGTGAAATCAGCGAGATTGTTCTGTAGTTTCCACATTCTGTTGGGTCACCTTTCTTTAGGATAGGAACAAATATAGATCTGTTCCAGTCAGTTGGCCAAGTGGTTGTTCTCCAGATTTCTTGGCACAACTTGGTTTCTTTTAAGTACATGCAAACAAGATTCTGCTGAAAATTATCCAAAAGTGCCTGGAACAGCATATCAACAGAGAAGTATCAGAAGTGCAGGATGGGTTTAGAAGAGGCCCTGGTACTATGGATATCGTAGCTAATATTAGATGGGTCTTGGCTGAAAGCAGGGAATACCAGAGGACTGTCTCTATTTGTGTTTCATTGACTATGCAAAGGCCTTTGACTGTGTGGCCCATAACAAACTGTGACTGACTCTGAGAAGAATGGAAATCCCAGAACACTTGATCGTGCTTAAGGGAAACCTATACTTGGAACAGGAAGCAGTCCTAAAGACAGAGAAGAAGTGATCAAATTAGAAAAAATGTCATTGTAGTATTTTAACACACTTTTTTCATGTAGCAGAAGATTTTTGATATTTATATATTTATAAATGTGGGGTCTTCCTCGTATTGGATGCCTGCACACAGTCTGTTGTGTGGCTGTGCCATGCAATCGCCTGCTGCTGAACAGTGATATTCTCTATAATTTACCATCATAAACATAGATGTTCCATACATTTTGCAGTTACTTTCTTTAGGATAAACTGTTAGATCTCATATTGATGCCTCAAATTTTATGTACCTGAACTATATTTTATGTTTACCTGAATAGTGTTTGTTGCTAGGTGCCATCAAGTTGACCAGTACTCTTAGCAACACCATGAACATAAGATAGAAACCTTGCCTTAGCCTACACCATTCTGGTAATCTCTGTCCTGCTCAAACCCATTGTGGTAGTCACTGTTATCAGCCCATCTCATTGAGGGTCTGCCTCTGTTTTGCTGACTCTCTTTCTTTCCCAGCATGATATCTCTT